TATTAAATAATATAGTAAATTAATAGACTGTATTAACCAATACAATTATATACTGTTGCTTAATATATTGTTTAATTCAAAACTATGGAATTGTATTAAACAATATGTATATTGGCATTGCGCAATTCTTTTAAAACTTCCTGATGATTAGTTTGTCTGACGTAACATATAATTTAAGATGCAGAAGCACTTCGATATGCATCCGTTAATATCTGTTGATATGCAGAGAAATACAATAGGAGTAGAAGAAATCAGAAAAGCGTGATAAGAGAAATGTACCAATTTTGTACCGAAAATAGACTACGGTTGCTCTGGTTCTATCTTTGAACAAACTGATACTCATCACGATGGTACCACCTTTGGACATGATCGACAAAATCAACTATACCTTATGAAAAAACAACAATGAAAATTGAGGCGTATTGGTGTGTTATCAAACAACATTATCTACATCATTTTAACCAACCTAGATTGGATTTCCTTCTGTAGACACTTCTTAATGAAGTGATTCCAGCACAGAGTAATCGATTTTTGCAGATTCGAGCTAGTATAGTTGAACCGTTCTGGTGGGATGACTTTAAAAAGGAGTAGATTTATGCTGGTACAAGTGAAAAAAAACGAGCAAATATGAATGCTAATAGGGGTAGCAAGAAAAGAAAAAGAAGTATTGATATAGAAACAAGTAATTCAAGTAGCTCAGATAATTTATATTTTACAAATATTGCCTGTTGGGTTTGTAGTTGCCCTGCTTTTGTTGGGAGCTGCTTTTTGTTATGTAAGCATCTGGTAAGACAAACTATAAACACTCCTGATAGAAAAAGAAGATGCTTATTTAGAAATGAGTTTGAACGCTGTACTACTCCATCATTCCTTGTTTTGAGTGGTCTCAACAGTAACATTACACCACCAGAAGCTCAAGTAATTGTTCAAGTTACCGAAATCTATAATACCGACAATTATGATATAAATAAAGATCCAAATGAAGAGGCTCAAACCTATGTTGAGTCGAATTAGGAACTATTTGAGCAGGCTTTCAGAAGAGTCTGCTCAGAAAAGACTTCTAATAATTGACAACAAGTAAGCGCTATGATGAAATGGAGCCACTTGATACAAATGGAAGAAGATATTCAAGCCATAGAACAGAAAAGGCATAGACAAGCAACTTGAGCACCAGTTAATTCTAGAAAGCCGTACCTTATATATTTATCACATTCTGAAAAACCAAGGTCTGCAGAAAATAATGAATTAATTAATGAAAATGAATCATAAAAAGTGAAAAAATTGTATTTATCTGTCTAGTTGTAACCTTTTATTTAATAAAAAACTTTTATTAATAAAATAATTTAAAATTGGCTGTAATGAAAGGATGTTAACCACTCAATAGTTCTATAAAATAGAACCTACTAACATTCTGATTTATCATTGACGAATTTATGCTACAAGATCTGATTTAGGAGGTGCTGCGGCAGGATGTCAATCATGCAACCCGAACTTTGGGGGGCCGCCCTGGCGTCGTCTCGTTTAACGGTATAAAAAAATCACTAATAGATGTTTGGCACTTAGATTCTCTATATTTTTAGTTTAACAAAGCTAAGTATTTTTGAAAAATTTTAAAATTCTCAGCTTTGAAATCTGTATTAATTTGTTGTTCAAAAAAGCTAATAAATTTATTTAAACTCATTAGCTCTTCTGAATAGTAATTTCTGATTGTTCTTCATCCAAGTCATCAGGATCTTCATTTTTTCGTTAATTTGCTTCATCTCAAACAATTTTAATAATTTCTAAATCTTCAAGCTTTTCTAGTAACATAGTGGTGCTTTAAAAAATCTGCAGTCACATGATGATCTTTATGCATAATCAAAATTTATTTATTAGTCAAAATTTTTATACAAGTAGAGCTATCAAAACAAAAGTTTTTCTAAAAATTTGAACAAAGATATCTCAACAACCATTTAACCAAATTCAATAAAAATTTCTTTATTTGAAATTTATACATCATTAAAATCTGAATAAAAAAATTTTCATCGAGTTTGGTTAAGTGGTTGTCGAGATATCTTTACGCAAATTTTTAGGAAATTCAACGCAACTTTAAGATGTTCAGTTTTTGAGTGAAGATATCTCAATCATTTAACTAAAATCAACAAAAATTTTTTAACTGAATTCTATAGATATATAGAATCTAAAAAAATTTTATCAAATTTGGTTATCAAAAAAAGCAGTGCTAAAAAAACTGGCTATATTTCCTTTTTAAATTCACCAATGCCGTCTACTTATTGTTGTAGCAGTAGCCTAAATTCCCGATTAACCTAATCTGTTCACAAAGTTTGTATCACCATGGCAATAACCAAACATTATACAGTGCACGATACTTAAAGACTAAAATTAATTTACTAATTTTTAAAAGCTAATAACTCCTAATACAAAAAACAGTACAAAAAAAAAAAGTCGTTAAAGTGTAATTAAATTTATTTACTACAACTTGGCGGCCCCTTTTTAAAAAAAATACTTATTTATTCTCGACTTATAATAATTTAAAAATACCCAATTCATATATACTCATTGACGAATAGGACACAAAACGTGACTTGGATCAACCAATCAAACTTAATTTTACAAATAGACGCAATTTTATTGGTTGATCAAAGATCACGTAAATATAGACAAAAATCAGGATTTTCATATAATAACTAAATATTCTTGCATGCTTTAAAGAAATACAGTACTTATTAAAGAAACCAGAGCATGAAAAAAGCACTTTTAATGTTAAACATCACCAAAATTTTCTCATGCTCTAACCATTAATATAAGAAATAAATGTGGGGCATACAGGAGAAGTAAATGCGGGGCGTACAATTTTTTTTTCAAAATTATGAAAAAAAAATTTTTTCATTAAAAATTATGAAAAAAATTTTTTTCTTGAAATTTTTTTTTCCAAATATTGCGAAAACTAATCTGACCTTGTTGTAAAAACCAATTAATAAATATGCAAAAGCGAAAAAATTGTATAATGCTTCAAGAATATAACAAAAAAAGGAAGGTGCAAGCTAAAAAAAAATGAAAAAAAGAAGTTGCAGATACCTTTGAGAACACTTTTGCTGAAGAAGACATTTGCACTGAAGATATTTTTGTTGAAAATACCTGCGCTGAACATGTTTTTGTTGAAAATACCTGCGCCGAATATGTTTTTGTTGAAAATATCTTTGCCGAAGATGTCTTTATTGAAGATGTCTTTACTGAAAGTGTGTTTGTTGAAGACAGTGAGTTTGATAAAAATGAAAAAGAGGTTGATGAAATAATGACGATACCAATGCTTATATGGAAGAAGGATAAAAGGGAAAGAGCAAGAATAATTAAGGGATTTCTAAAGTCAACGTATTATCATAAGTTTGGTGCTTCCAGCACACTTGCGAATGCTGCCAGAAGAACTTATAAAATTACAGGCTTCTTTAAGACTTCGAGGTTAGTAAAATAAGTCATTAGTACTTGCATAATTATATAGTAATATGTTTAAGTTTCTAAATATCCTTATTATATTATTAAGTGTATTTTCCAGAAGGTTTTCAATACTTTCTGAGTTTCCCATATTTCTTATGACCTCCTGGGCAAGTGAATTTTTCAGTAGACCTACAACCTGTTCCAAGTCTCCTCCATTAAGTGGGCCTTCTAATTGGTCTTTGATGCCTCTTTCAAATAATAATGTGAATAAATTCACACTTCATGAAAGAATTGAACAACTGAGAGAAGACCTTATGAAAAATCAAAAAAATTTTACAGCCATTGAATATAATGAACGACGAGCGGTTTATGAATATTTAGTACGATTAGATGATAGTGACGGCAAGATGAAAGCAAGCAAAGAAGCTGCGAGTATTGCATATGTCTCTCCCAAACCATATACATCCCAGAGGATTCGCTTTTTAGCTGAATTTTATTTACATCACAAATCATTTTCAGTTACACAACGTGGTCGACACAAAAAACATCACTGGCTTATTGATGACAAAGATGTTGCTTTGCAATGTAAAGAATGAATACACAAGGAATCAGTGGTAAATGGAATTAGCCCAGTTAGTTTTATGCAATATGTAAACAATTTTGTTTTACCAGAATGCGTAAAAGGATCCCAAAAAAAAATTTGCTTGCGGACAGCAAAGAGGTGGTTGGACATTTTAGGATGTGAATTTATAGAATATAAGAAGGGCATGTATTTTGATGGATATGAGAGAGAAGATGTTGTAGCGTATCGAACTGTGTTTTTAGATAAAATGAGAAGATTAGAGCAGCGAATAGCAACGTATAAAGAGGAAACAATGGAAAAGGTTCTACTAATGCTTAATAAAGGGGAATGAGAATTAATTTTTATAACCCATGACGAATGTGTGTTCAATTCCAATGATGGAAAGAGAAGGATCTGGGTGCCTGATGGTGAGATGCCCTTACGAAAAAAAGGAAATGAAAGATCAATAATGGTGAGCGAATTTCTTGCAGAAGAAAGTGGTCAGTTAAAGTTAAATGATAATAAGGCAAAAATTTATCCGGATGTTCCTGTAAAGGCCCATTGTTATCTTATGCCAGGTAAAAACCACGAAAGTTATTGGACAATTGATAACCTATTAGATCAAATAAAAAACAAAGCTATTTCTATATTTGAAGCAAAATTTCCCAACGCAACCACCGTTTTTGCTTTTGACAATAGCACCAACCACGCAGCATACGCAAAGGATGCCCTTGTTGCATCAAGAATGAATTTGGGTCCCGGGGAAACCAACCTGTAATGCGGTCAACAACTTTTTTTGATTCCAATGAAGACAAAAAATACAGCAGATGGTTTTTGAAGAAGACTATAAGGATCTTACTATGCGAGGAAAACCAAAGGGAATAAAATTAGTATTGGAAGAAAGAGGACTTTGGAGAAATGGGTTGCGTTTAGAATGCAAGTTATGTAAGAATAAGAAAATAGTGAATGATCCTTTGCGAGTCAAGAAGGATTATAGCTTCTCAACCAGACTTTATCGCACAAAAGTCGGCTATTGTGGAATTAATAGAGAATGCAGGTCATTTGTGTATTTTTTATCTGAAATATCACTGCGAACTTAATTTTATTAAAATGTATTGGGGTGCAGCCAAATTTTATACAAGAAGCCACTGTGATTACTCATGGGCTAGTTTACAAAAAACTGTTCCACAAGCGCTTGATTCTATTGATCTCGTTACAATCAGAAGGTTTGCTCAAAAGTCCTGGCGATATATGGATCTGTATCGTGAAGGGCTAATGGGAAAATTGGCTGAGTATGCTTGTAAAAAGTTTAAGTCGCATAGAAGAGTTCCCCGAAGCGAATTAGCTTCTTTCATACAAGAGAATCTTGATCATAATGACTGTAAGGATTTTTAATTTTTTTTAATTTTAAAAATTTAGTCTAATCTGTATATGCCATTTTATTCATTTTAGATCCCAATAATATAAGCAGGGTATAATCAGTTTAGTTATGTTCTGGCAATTTTTTTTTTTTTTTTTTGCAATTTTTTCTTTGCAATTTTTTTTTTTTTGGCGTCATATTTTTGGCGGCTTTTTTTTTTTTTGCGCACTTATTTTTCGTGCACTTATTGTTTGCACACTTATTTTTGCGCACTTATTTTTTGCGCACTTATTTTTTGCGCATTTATTTTTTGCATACTTATTTTTTGCGCATTTCCTTTTTTTTACATTTATTCTGTTCTTTTGTAAAGAATACAATACTTTCTCAACTGGTACATGTACGGGTATTAGCTTTGAGATAATAATTCAAGGATAACCACGCGATAATAAAAATTTTAATGTATTAATGATGCATTAAATAACAAAACACTTACCGATTTACTTCTTAAAAACGCATTAAACCTTTTTTATACTTGCTTATTATGGAAGCGGCACAACTACTTTTTTTTATCAAAAGAGGTTTATCGCAGTGAGACAAAGTGTAGATAGAATTATGTACAAACTACATGCTAAATTTTATTTTATGAATTGTAATGTTTATATTATGTACAAAGTGCTGTATATTTTTTAAGCGAATGGTATATCAGTCGGCCGACATGTCGTTTACAATTGCAGACTTATTGATCAAATTAATTGACGTACTTAAATTTTATAAGT